TCAGAAATAACCACTGATAATATTTTGGAATATATTCTTTTCAATGCACATATATACACACATATTCACAATATATATTTTAACAAAAACATGGTTATACTCAACTTAAATGCGGAGGACATCATGTGAAATGCCAGGCTGGATGACTCACAAGCTGGAATCAAGATTACTGTTAGAAATAGCAACAATCTCATATACACAGATGATACCACTCTCATGACAGAGAGTGAAAACTTTTCACCCTATTAATGAGGGTGAAAGGAGAATGAAAAAGCTGGCTTAAAACTCAGCATTAAAAAAACTAAGATCATGGCATCCAGTCCCATCACTTCATGGCAAACAGAATGGGAAAAAGTGGAAACAGTGACATTTTATTTTCTTCAGCTCTGAAATCACTGAGAATGGTGACCACAGCCATGAAATTAAAAGATGCTTGAATGCTCCTTGAAAGGAAAACTATGGCAAACCTAGACAGTGTATTAAAGAGCAGAGACATCACTTTGCCGTATAGTCAAAGCTACAGTTTTTCTAGTAGCCATGTATGGATGTGAGAGTTGGATCATAACTCTCAGGGTTATACTCTCAGACCATAACTGCTCAGAGTTGGCTGAACACCGAAGAATTGCTGTTTTGTAGTGCCGGAGAAGACTCTTGAGAGTCCCTTGGACTGCAAGGAGAACAAACCAGTCAGTCCTAAAGGAAATCAACCCTGAATATTCATTGGAAGGACTGTTGCTAAAGCTGAAGCCCCAATACTTTGGCCCCCTGATGCTGGGAAAGACTGAAAGCAAAAGAAAAACAGGGCAGCAGAGGATGAGATGGTTAGATAGCATCACTCACACAATGGTAATAAATTGGAGGAAACTCTGGGAGAGAGTGGAGGACAGAGGAACCTGGCATCCTACAGTCCATGGGGTTGCAAAGAATTGGACATGACTTAGCAACTGAACAACAGCAACAACTTAAAATACAGTATATTCCCAGTTGTCAATAAATACAGAACATTTTAATGACCACATTATATTCCACTTTATGGAAATACATAATTTTAAAAAAACAATTAGCTGTTATCGGGAATTTAGGAATTTTAGTTTTTCACTACAGTATGAAACTCAGGTGACTGCTGTTACTTATAAATGTTTAAATGAAGGATTCTTCCATAAAAGCTAAGAAAAAATTGCTAGATTAAAGGCTAAGAATATTCTCATTCTGCACATATACTGCTTACCTGCCCCCCAGGAAGGTTTTATGAATTTTTGCTTCCATCAGTAGCCTAAAGAACAGAGCACCATCACCAGTGTTTGGGTCATTTCACTCCTTTTCTATGAACAGTGACCAAAGTATATGAACTTGAGGATGGAGGAGGCAGGGGGAGGGAACATGAATAATTAAACTACAGTTCTCTTAACAGTCTTAGTTTCTGCATGCCTGTCAATTGTTGTAATATCTTGCTATGCTGACTGTGACTCTCGTGCTTAAAGAGAAAAGAAATTTTGATTCCACGCAATTTTTACCTTATACAATCACTTAAAACCCAATTCGTATTTTAAGTTCATCCTCCACTGAAACACTAAGTAAAACAAAAGACACAAAAATGGGGGGGGGGATACAAATATTTAAAAGAGTATTATGGGCCAAGTACTAGGAATAAAACAATTAACAAGTTAGAGTTCCCATCTTACCAAAGCTTAAAGTTTAGTAAGATACATAATTAAATAGGAAATACTGTGAAAGTGTGAAAAGTATGTTAGAGCAGATATAGGATACAATACCTAAAGGATGAACAGGCCAGGTTAAGGTCCAGAGAGAGTGAAGAGATGGAGTAGCAAGGGATGTGGCCTGAAAAGACAGGTAAAAGTTTGAGCATAAAAGGTCTTGTAAAACATTAAAAAGGAGGGAAAAGACAGTGGAGTATTTAAAAGTGAAAAGTAATACAATCAGATTAGTACCTTACACTAATCACCCTGGGAGCAGTGTGGAGTACAGATGAAAGGAAAGCAAAATATATTAACAATCTTATTCATGCAGTATTGGTTGTTATTACAAAATATCTGGAAGAGAAAATGGATTAAATGTACATTATAGTATATCCACGTATATATAGTATATCCACATAGTCAAATACTAAGCTATTTGAATGAAATGAATCAAAGAATGAAACAGCCTGCCCTGATATAGAAAGATATGCTTTTTAAAAAGACATGAAAGCTATGACTCAATTTTTATAAAAAGAAAAAACCAAGGTGAAATATGCTGGGCGAGACTGGGCCTGAGTCCACAGCTGCTGGTGTACCAAGTTATTGGTGAGCCAAAACTAGTACATAAATTCCAACCCCCATTTAAGCAGACCACAACTCCTTTGCGAACATCATTTAAGAAGACCTCCTCATGCAAGGACCACATGCATTTGGGATTCTTTTCTAACTGCTGCCTGCTACTGTTATACCATGGAGGGCTGCAAACACCTAATGAACAAAAGGAATATTTGGTGCCACAGCATGGCTGCAGGTGCTCCTTCCAGGAGCACCTAGAAAGGTTAGGTAGGAAGTTAAGCATGAGCAAGCAACAAGGGGTGTCCTAGCCAAAAAGGATGCAAGTTGATTTCTAAACCCCACCCCAGGCATGGCAAGGAGAACTCACAGATACCCTATAGAAATAAACCACAGCAACATGTGCTCGAGGCACACAGTAGATACAAACTAACCACAGGGGCTTCTCCAACTCCGGCACATGCAGCTGTGTCCTCAAGTAACCTTAGGCAGCTAGGAGCCCATTAAGGATTCATAAATATCCTAAACATAATACATCTGATTATAGCAGACTGAGTTGTGGGAAAGACATGCACAATAGAGTCTTGTTATGTAACCTGCAACTATCAACTGGCCTTGAGTGTATGCCTATTTGCATTCCCTTTCCTGAGTGTAAGCCCTATTTTGCACAGGGCAAAATCAAGAGGAGGAGATGGGGAGAATAAAAAGGGAAGCCAAGAGGGCTTGTGGCCAGTCCTTTGGGACTGGCCTGCTCTCACATCTAGGAAGTGTACTATCCTCTGTCTGTTAAATAAGATTTGTCTGCTTGAGCTATAACCAGTCTGTTGTCTCAAAGCCTTGCTATGATGAGATAGGAGCCAAGAAATCCTGCCTGAGCTATAATTAGTCCATCATTCCAAATCTTTGTTGAGACAAGAACCAAAGGAGGGAAATAAACCGACCTGATATTTCCAAGCTATGTGTGAATCCTATTAGAATATCCATCATCTTAGAACCTGCTAGGATTTAATCTATGCCCCTATAAATTTTGTTTTCATTGGTCACAGCCCAGTAACAGCCTACCCTCAGCTCTGATATTCTGTCTGTATAGCCATCATGACAATCTTCTGTATTCCTCATGCCACAATCATAAACTCCAAATTCCTGCCCTTCTGGAAACTTTCCATGGTGCCCTCTGAGATTTCCCTGAGTGATAAATAAACTCCTTTATTCCTCAATAACTTCCCTACAAATTCCCTTCAATTCTTTGTATTAACAAACTTGGCTACCCCCTGGCAAAAACTCTGTGTGCATGCTAAGTTGCTTCAGTGGTATGTGACTCTTTGAAACCCATGGACTGTAGCCCACCAGGCTCTTCTGTCCATGGGATATTCTCCAGGCAAGAATATGGAGTGGGTTGCCATACCCTCTTCCAGGGGATCTTCCTGACCCAGGGATCAAATCCACATCTCTTACATCTCCTGCGTTGGCACTGGCAGGTGGGTTCTTTACCACTGAGCCACCAGAGAAGCCTGGAAAAAACCTACTCAACAACAATCACACCAAAGGGTTATTTATTCCCATGTACTCTGTATCTATAGGCTGCTTCTAATCAATTGCTACCTCTTGTGAAAAAACAAAACAAAAACCCCAAAAGCGAAAAAACTCTTTGAGGCTCATACCAGCTAGTTACAACTTTCTCTCTTCTTTGTTGTTATCTTCTATTCAACAGGACTCTCATCATTCACTTAGACTTTCCTATTTGTTTTACTGTCTTCTCCAGGAAAGGCCTACTGGTTACTGGAGCAGGGGCAGGGGGGATCGCTTTCACATACATAGTCTTCTTCTCTAAAGCCTCTGACCAGTCTTTCATTCATTTTACTCTTGGCAGATTATCCTGGCATGAAATCTATAGTCTCATTTCTATATTCTTTCTGTTGGCCAAGAACAGGGGGAATGACTCATCTTGGCCATGGAGCCTGCCTGGGATAAGGAGTTTTGTAACTGGACACATGCTCTATAAGCAAAACTAGGCTACTGTTAGTAAAGGAGAAGGAGGAAACATAGCAATTAGCAGTCATCTGCCACACTGGGCCAGAAAGTAGTTCTTAAGAAAGCAAACAAGATGTATTGTACAGCTCAGATACTCTTAAGACAGTTCTTAGATATAAGTAAATCAAGAGGTAATTAAAATCTTTCCTTTTGAGAGAATGGTAGAAGTATCCCTTCTGGTAGAAAACATCAATCCTTCTATCTGTGCTCACAGATTCCTCTTTCCCCTTCTCAGAACTTAATGGTACTGACAGTCCCTCATCTTATGCTGGCACATTTCATCCCTCCATACTGGATACATGACATTAGGAATTAAACATGTCCTAGTTTTTCATTATTTAAAAAATATTTTCCATTTGAAGAAGGAAAGGAGCTGGTTGCCCTGACTGGACTGACTCCATTTTTAAAAGAAAAGGAACTCCATCTTACACTCTCAGTGAACTTTGGAATGCATACCTGGGAAGCCATAGAGATAAAATGCCAACAGCCGAGCAGGCCTCCTGGGTGGATAAAAACCAGGCCAGGCAGACCCTGTACTTTCCAGAGCCAGAAGGAAAGGTCCAGGCTAAGCCCCCATGCTCCCAATGCAGGGGGCCTGGGTTCGATCCCTGGTGAGGGAACTAGATCCCACATTCCACAACTAAGAGTTTGCATGCTGATCCCACATGCCACAATTAAAAGATCCTGAGTGCTGCAACTAAGAGCCAGCACAGCCAAAATTACTAAAGTTTTAAAAAAATAAATAAACTGCACTCCACTCTCCACGCTGTCCTTCTGATTGAGTTTGCTTCCTGGAACGTTTGGCTATAACACCTTGACCAAATCTCTTTTCAGCAATTTCCCTGTCTTTCTCCTACTATCCAAATTTGTCCATGTTTATTCTTTATTTCCTCGTCCTTTATCATTAAACTCATCCCAATCTACCACCCATCCTCAACATACCCTAAGATCAACAATAATCTTCATGTTGCTATGTTGTTGTTGTTGTTTAAGAATTCATCTATTTAACCTCATAGTAGCATTTAAACAACCGATTTTACCTTCCTTCTTCAAACACTAATTTGTCCTGGTTTAGTAAAACTCTAGTTTTACTTACTTTAGATATAGGTCTCCATGGTCAGTGGTAGACATTCTCTTTTCACACCATCTATTTTCCCTGTGCAATTTTAGTCACCTCCACAAAACCCATTACCCAGTCTATCTCCTGATGTTGCTAAAATTATATCTCCATCCTAGACATCTCCTCAGGTCCAGAACAACATATAAGCCTGCTAATCTAATGTCTCATATAATGTGAGCAAGGCTAAAATTGTGACTACTGCTTTTTTTCTTCCATCATAAGTCCCTCTTTCTGTATTTTCTTAATAAATTGGAGCTACTCTGGTCAGTATCTGTAAGGCCAAGTAGCAAATCTCAAGGGTTCATTCAGCATTTAAAATTGGTAACTTCCCCTTGACTTGAAGACTCACTGGTTTTCTCATGCTTAAATGTTGGGATTTCCTTCCTGCCTCTCTGACACCTGCTTTCAATGACCTCAGCTCCATCCACTCTACACTAAGCCCAAAAGTTCTATCAACATATCACTTCCATTCCTCCCTTTTCTATGTTCTTATCCAAATTTGTACAGTCAGCATAAAATATTTAACTCTACAAACCTTGTGACCTTTGCCTTTTTTAAAAACAAGGTTACTGTATTGACTCTATTCCAATAAGCTTATTTTTCTCATATAAAAATATGCCCAAATATAAGCAGTGTAGTGCTGACACAACTGTTTGAGGATATCTTTGTGAAACCGTGATCTCTCTGACATCATCTTTATTTATTCCATGCTTGTTATCCTCCTGGGTCACAAAATGGCTCATTCAGCTCTATGAGTGCAAAATCCAAAGGGAGAAGACTAGGGAAGATAGAATGACAAAGTGCAAAAGGCAAAGAGAAAACACTAGATAGATCTGTCCCCAGTAATACTGTCTATATTTGATTCATCAGGAATGAGGGGAATGGATCCACATGGCAGCAAAGCAGCTGAAAAGAGTTCTATAATTAGACACACTGATATTATAACCTAAAACAGGATTGCCAGTAGGGAGGGATGAACTGAATATTCATTTGGCTACTAGCAATATTTGTCACACCAGACCAGAAAGCAACTCTCAGGAAAATGCTAGTAAAGTAGTATCATATAGTTCAGATACTTTGAACTTAAATACAGTTAACTTAAAAATCAATAAGGTAACTGCAAACATTAAAAATACATAATTTTAAACAGTTATGGATCAAAAAAGATTTAATGTCATAGTAAATATTAGACAACATTTAGATTTAAAACAAAACAAATAATCATAGACCTAAACGTGTTATATAGCTAAAGGTGTGTTTATAGTACTATTGATAGCCTCAAATGCTTATTGTAAAGAACAAACACTGAAACAATGACCTTGAAATCCACCTTAAGACAATGAAAAAGGCAACCTCACATTCTTAACTGTTACAGGGTTTCTCTTCCAGTATGAATTCTTTTATGTATAATAAGTGAAGAACTCTGACTGAAGGTTTTTCCACACTGAATACATTCATAGGGTTTCTCTCCAGTGTGAGTTCTCACATGTCTTCTAAGAGAAGAGGAAACACTGAAGGTTTTCCTACATTCCTTACATTCGTAGGGTTTCTCCCCTGTATGAGTTCTCACATGCATTCTAAGAGATGAGAGGCCACTAAAAACCTTCCCACAGTCAGTGCATTCATAAAGATTCTCTCCAGTGTGTATTTTCTTGTGAACTTTAAGGTGAGAGCTTGTGTTGAAGGCTTTTCCACAGTCATCACATTCATAGCGTTTCTCCCCACTGTGTATTCTCTTGTGCACTATAAGGTAAGAACTTGTGCCAAAGGATTTTCCACAATGATTACACTCATAAGGCTTCTCTCCAGTGTGAGTTCTCACATGAACCTTAAGAGATGTTTTTTGACTGAAAGCTTTTCCACACTGATTACATTCGTAAGGTTTCTCCCCAGTGTGAGTTCTTACATGTCTCCTTAGGGTTGAGGAATCATTGAAGATTTTCCCACATTCTTTACATTCATATTGTTTCTCACTCATGTGACTTCTCTTGTGCAAAATAAGATTAGAAATCCTTTTGAAAGTTTTTCCACACTGATTACATTCATGTTTCTCTTCAGTGGGAGTTTGCTCCTGTTGTTCAAGGGATGAATGATAACAAAAGATATTGTTTTTATTACATTCATAGGAATTCTCCACCATGTGAAAATTGTTGCATATAGGAAGCATATTATGATGTTTGAAGTGTGTATCACATTTGCAATATGTGTACACTTTCTGTGCTATCTGAGTTCTTTCAAGATGCCACAGAGTTCTGTCATATTTATGACTTTCACAGACTCTCTCACTTACAGAGATATTTTCATAATTGTTTAGGATTGGATTATGCTTCAAACACTCAATATTTAAGTAACATTTATGACAATGTTTACTGGTGGAAACTCTCCTTGAAAAAACAAGTGTTGATCTAAGTTTAGAGTTTTCCTCTAATTCATGATAGTCAAAGAATCTCTCCTGAGATGCTGTTTTCTTTTGAGTAAATGTCACTTGCCTCAAAATTCCCTCTGGGATCTTGTGCTGTTTTCTGATTCTACTGCATTCCCAGTCTTCTTTTAATGTACAAGACCAATCATCCATTGTGAATCTTATTATTTTCATGCCACCAGATGATGCTTCACCCAAAATATTCTGATTAGAAGTTGACTCTTTAGTTTTCAATTGAATCTCCCAGTCTGGACAGGTGTCTTGGGGAATTCTGCTTTTCACAGTTCTTATGTCTTCCTGACCCAACAGGGAGATCACAGGCTTGCATAATTGATATTCCACTAAGGTGAGATTTATATAGTTTTCCAACATCACATCTCTGTACATACTTCGTTGAGCAGAGTCCAGCATCATCCACTCCTCCTGGGTGAACTCCACAGCCACATCTTTAAAAGACATTGGTCCCTGTAACCAAGTTGCTGGGAATCCTGGCACTATCTTTTCCCCCTTAGTATTTCTCATACAGAAACAGGCAGAGTCCTGTGCAGGCAGAGCCCATATTGAGGACAGGTCAGTGGCTGCCATCTTCAGCGTCTGAATGTGACATCCACCTGCACAACAGGGCTGAGAGATCTGGATACTTCTTTTTTTGTTTCTCTGGTCCAATCAGGTCAGGAATGCATTTCACTGGATGTCCTCCCTGTAGCCAAAGAGGCAGGTTCAGGTAAAAGAAGAAAGGTAAAAACAGGGTTCCATGGGAGGCAAGGTAAAAAAAAAAAAAATTGTAGACCCTTCCCTGTACCTTCCAGCAAGGTCTCATCAGTTTAAAACATTCATTGGGATTTGAATTGATATGCAATATAGTCATCTTTGGCCCCTTTCTAGAACTGCTGCCTTGGTTATTTATACTGGCTTCTCCTGTAGACTACTACTCAGTTCTGGGTAGAAAAAAAAGCTTTATTTTTAAAAATTGAAGTCAAAGATAATCAGTTTAAAAAGGCACAGTTTCTTGAATGTCATGCATACCTTACTACTTTTTCAGTTCACTTTTTAAAATAAAAAATAATTTTCCTACTAATCACAACTGTTCTAGGTAAATTTATTTGTTGTATATGTAACTAGGTATTTACCTAAACAACCTCACATATAATTAACAGGACTAATGATTTGGCTGTTACCCTACTTAGGAATTTTACTGGAGCCATTAAAGGTAAATGTGACTTTGAAACAAATGTTCATTTGATTACCTTCAATTTAATCTCTGTCCCCAAAGTCCATATCTCCTTATGATGATTCATTCTATCTAAAACTTGAATGGGATTAACAAAAAGGCATGAGCTATGTGCTAAGCTTTGAGACTGAGGCCTTTAAATTTCAGATGGGATAATACTTCCTGAATAATTTTTATAATATAAATATTGAAATGACTGACACATAGTGTGAATACAAATGAGGAATGCTTGGGGACTTTAAGGATCACAACAAATCATGCAGTAATATGTTATGCTAATATTTTTACAAATCTTACTTTTTTAAGGTTAGTTGATAACTTTCAAATATAAGACTTTTATCTCAGTATTATACTCTAATAGAGTTCAGGTTTAATGGACAAAATTAGAGAACTCGCATTTTTATTTAGACAAAGATCTTCAACAGGTAGATTTTATGCACCTAATCCAGAAGTGCACAGAAGACTGTCGTTTTAGTATAAATTATATAGAAATATACATCTGATTTGTTCCTTGCAGGTATCCTGAGTATCCAGAACACTCTCCATCACACATGCCCAGAACTGACTCAATTAAGAACTACAAACTGAAATTAATCACTACCATTTAAAATTGAATCAGAAGTCCAATATCTATCCCAAAAGATTTTGAGCCCAAAACTTTCAAGGGAAAAATCATTTTACCAAGTAGAAAAAAAAAAAAAAATCTGTGCTTCTTGAATTACTCATGAGACTAGTAAAATCTTGCAAAGATAGTACAAAAAAAGATTAAAGTGCAATCTTAATTATGAACATTGAAAAAGTTCTAAGTAAAATATTAGTTAATTGAATATGGCAGTGTATTAAAGTAATAATACAATGTCACATTCAAGCAGGGTTTAGCCAGGAATGCAGGAATGGTTGAAAAGCAGAAAAACTATTATTGTTATTATAATGTCAGGGTATAATGAACACTCTTGTATCCATCACTCTTGTTTTGAAGCAAATCTGGGAATGATATATTATTACTCATAAATATTTCAGAATTTATCTCTGAAATTAAAAACTCATAACCAAGATATTATTATCACACCTACAAAACTAGCAATAATTACTTAATGTCAAATACACCAGACAGTCTTCAAAATTTTCTGTTATCTCATAAATGCTTAACCCCCCTCCCACCTCATTTCTTTGACTCATGGTTGAAATAACGTTCATACGATCTTAAGTCCTTTAACTTAAAGTTTGCCACAGAGAAACGATATCTCATTACTGTGATACAGCCCAGTAATGGATTAAGGTGTGAGGACAAAATGTCACAACAAAGGATGTTGTGGCCTTCAAGATATCAGCCACTACAGCCACCCTAGACTATGTATTCAGAGGGGATTCAGCATGGAGAAATGCAGTATACTGACCCTAGATAGATAAGGTGCATAGCAAAGGAATGATTACAATAAACCCGGACTCTTGCATCTTCCCATACACAAAAAGTGTTAAATTCATTAACCTGAGATATCTAGTTTTCTTTAATTAACAGTATTTTTTGATGTTCCGACTACCAGGTCTTTCTTATAAAAACTCCTATGTCTCCTGGCTCCTCCCTTCTCTTTGGATCAATCTCTCAAAGCTATTGAGAAAATCCGCAGAATAAAATATAGTTTTCAACTTTCAGGTTGTGTATTTTTTTTTCAGTTAACAGTTCTGGCAACCAATTAAGGGACCCAAAGTTGACTTCTCTCCTTCACATGAACTCTACAATGAGCCAGAGTCTTAGTACAGGCCTCCTGTGCCCATCTGCCTCCTCAAAGAGTTCAAATGAATATGGGTGGGTCTCTCCTGGTTCTCCTCGTTCTCCCAACTACTTGTTGATGATCCTGCATTTTATTTGGGGGTGCATAACAAGTACTTGGCTTACCAGGTGAAAGATACTAGGGGGCGCTTGGTTGACAGACACTATGAAAAAGTTACCACTGCCACCACCCCACCTGACATCCACAGTTGGAAGATCCTGGGGGACCCAGGATGAAAGACAGTGGGATTTCTTCAATTGAAAGACACTAAAAAAAAACAAAGACACTGAGTAATCTGGGCTGAGTGGTTAGGTAGGAGGTTGACCTGATGTTTTTCCTCAAAAGGCTACCTTAGCAAGAATTTGTCAGAATAAAAGTGAAAACATCATGATAGTTTTCAGCTCTGAAGAAGGGACATCTCATGGTCAGCAATGGCTTTCTCTGGCAACTGAGTAACTTGCAGGAGTGGTAAAGGCAAATCTTCACAGTGTGCAGCTGTCTCTATAGGGAAATCCATTCAATTTAACTTTAAAAACTTGCTCTTCTGGGGACAGAAATAAGAATTAGCCACTCTGTGATCAAAGCACCATGATGGTCTTCTACTACCAGAGGGATAACTGAGACATATTAGAGGAGCAGAGAAGACTCTGGGGTAAAAACCTAGAGGAATTAAGCTCATAAGCAGCACACAGGTCCAACACACAATTTCACTGGTAAATTTTATCCTCAACGAATTCAACTTTAAAATCGAAAATAGATTCTCTCAGATAAGCTAGGGGAATCAGAAAGCCAACCTCCAACTAACACCCTAGCCAGATTTATGTATATATAGAGTTCATACTTGCAAGAACCTACTTAATTGGGGAGTAAAGGAAATCTCACCCTGAAAATGACTATGATGGGGCCCTTTTACTGCATACACGGTTAAGTTAGAGAAAGTTAGTTTGATAATACATCTTTTCAGAATTCTGACCTTAAAGATAAAAGCCCTTCTAGGGTGAACCTGCATTTCTCTTTCCTGTGTCTTTGAGACTAAATGTTCTACCTGTTCTTCTTGTGTGGTATATGTGTGTGTGACTTGAGAACTTGGTCTCTGCCATCCAAAAGGCACACAAATCATGTTCATTTGGTGACAATCAAATAGACTGGGGTTCTGGTCAGTCTTTTGTCTGGCTGTACCAATTTTTAGGGGCTTTTTGCCACCTTAATCTTCATTGTGTCAGTCTGTACAATGAAGACCTTCACTTTCTTAAACTATTTTTGGGAGTAAACCTTCTGGGTCTTGCTTATGTGGCATCCTTTACACCATCTTGTAGGGAAGCCTCTTGAATCTTATTAGTTTGGGTCACTACTATCATATATTTCATTAATAGCCAGATGATGGAGCCATTAAATGGAAGAAACTTCTAAACTGGTAAATTTTTAGAGAGCGCTCATTATAAACAGTTGTTTTACTGGTACTTATGGGGGGAAATAAAACTACATCAAAAGGAGGAAAAATTATAAAATTGTTTATACACACACACATACACACACACACACACACACATATATATAAAATGATTAACCTAAGAACTCCTTTAATTTAAAACAAGCAAAAAACCAGTTTGCAAAGTCTTATTTGCGGCCTCTGCTTCCTCTCAATGGATCTTACAGATGCTAATAAAAACAAATTAATGTTAATTAGGTAAATTAACAGGAAATTTTTTTAAAATGAAGGGAAAGTCTACAAACTTTTTCCTAACAAGGTGGAAATTTTAAAGTGACTCATCCCCCAAAAGATAAATCTCTCAATGGTTATTAAGAAATGGGATAAATAGAGGGGAGGGGAGGGGAGGCGGCGGTGGCAGCAAAAAAAAAAAAAAAAGGAAATGGGATAAATAAAACAGACATTAAGAGGATTAAAAAGTTTTGATGCGATACTACCTCAGGTTGGATGGGCCAAAGGGACCCCCATTGGTCCCCAACATTAAAGGGCCCCAAACAACTCCACCTTATTTACCCTGAAGCAGGAGATAGATGGCCCTCAGGGCAAACAATTCATTCTCTGTGGATCCATACTCCAAGACGAAAACAGCAGGCCAACTGAGGAGGCTGGACCTTGGCCAGACAAAAGATAAGTGACCATTTATTTTTCATTCTTAGAGTCAGGAGGATTCCCCAACTACACAAACACAGAAAAGTTCCTCACGCGACGTAAACAAGGGGGCGCCATCCCATAGCAAATGATGCTAACTACCCATAGGCCTCTGCTGTAAAGCACCTATCTTGGCTAAGAGACACATGGGAGGATCCTGAGACATACCAAATATGTACTCCAAATCAGGCAAATCAAAAAGGATTGACCAAAGGAAAACCAGAAGAAATGCCCCATGTAAGTGATTTAAACTGCCCCAAGGGTGCAACTCTCTGAGTCCACCCATGTGTCTATACACAAGTAATGGATTCTTTTTTCCTCCTAATAAACATTTAACTTGTTTCACTACTTTCCATCTTTGTGGGATTTATTTTCTGCAAAGCTGAAGCGCCAGGGCCTTGCTACTGACCACTGGTCTAGTCCCTAGGATTCAGTGTTCTTAGTGCCACAACTCAACCTCAGTCTCTGTCCAGGAACTGAAGCTGTTGCAGCCCAAGGCCACTGAGACCAAACCAAATACATACACACACACACAAAGGGCTGGAAAAAATTACACTGAGATAGCTGACCAACAATTACTTGGGGCAACAGGCCAATTAACCAAGTTAAAAGATTGACCAAAAACGGCCTGAGTCCCCTAGTTCAACCCTTTACTAGGGACCCCAGAGCATTTCATAAAAAAACAGATAAAAGGTCAGGGGATAAAAGAAGGCAAAGCTTCCATGACTCCTTGTAAGACCAAGACTTGTTGATAGGCTTCCTTTACTGTTGGGGACCAATGGGTACTGTGTCCCCTGCTGGGTATTGTTATTATAAAGTAGCATGTAGCTATGCCCCTCAAGAACTATTAATTAAACATACTAAAGGAAACCAATAGAGTCATACAATATAAAGTAAAAACTGGGGCTGATATTCAGGAGCTAATAAAATTAGTAACAGATTTTGTTCTGGGTCTAATCTGTGCACTCAGAGGGCCTTTGTTGAATGCCTTACTCAAGACTTCGAAGACAGTGAACCCTAAAGTTCTATGAATAGTACACAGAACTTTTAATTTTCAGTTTATTTGGAAATCATCTCACCCCAAATCTGATTCATACTTAAAGGTTTATTAAGGACAAACAGAAATCTTTAAAACTTTTTCCACAAATAATAAAGCCTAATCATCTAAGCAAGCAAATTTAATTTATTCCCACTGTTAATTATAAACTAAGTTTATATTGTAATACCTGATTCAGAACAAAGTTTTTAAAGTGATGCTTTGAGATCTCTAGTTTTGTCTATTTATATGTGTGTGTACACATTATACATATAGATGTCTCTATCTCCAGAAAATATTATCAAAATTAAACTTATAAAGAGTTCTATTTAATTGGCTTATAAGTAAGCACTTACAAATTAAATATTTCAAAATATAAAAGAAACTGGTCAGAATGAATTCAAGGCTCACATGATCTAGAAGAAATACTCAATATTAATTAACATCTGGTATTAAAGCTAGCTTAAGCTTGCTGGTTTATAAAATAAGACTTGTCTTATTTTTATTACACCTAGGTTTATTGAAGGTCAATATGTTCATGTTATTTCTGTTGCAGATTTGCCAGCAAAAAATTAACTTGGTAGGATGGTATTTTCATAACTTATAAAATAAAAGCAAATGAGGTAAGAGTTTTCAAGTGAACTCTTTAGGAATAATTATGTATCTAAAATAGTTTCTCCTGATTTTTAGTAACTTGAGTTTTGCTAAGTTCAGTTAAATGATGGGAATTCATTAAATAGCCAGGTCATTTCAGGTTAAGATAAAACACGTGAACATTAATTGCTAAACAGGTCTAAATTTACCTCCTTTTGTCTCCTTATGAGACAGAAACTAAAGATGTTTGGGATTTTTAGACACATGTCTTATAAGACACTGAAGAAAGAAATCAGAAAATACATGTTACTAGGGGTTATGGGAAATACCAAGTTTGCCAACCAGGAAATGCTGCTATGACAAACAGTTCACAACTACAGGCTGCATGTCTGTTTTCCCTAGAGATAAAGGTTTTAAGGGTTAAAACTGAAATATAATTAATAAATATTAAGGAAAGCATTTTAATGTGCAAGGGAATTAGAATGTAAGTTTTCAGTAAAAGAAAGCATGAAGAATAGAAGTGAATTTGCTGGGAAAATAAGGGTGATTTTGTCCTATAGCTGGTTATTTCTTGATAAACAAAATAATAATAAGGGACAACCTAATATGGAAACAGAAAGTTTTGGAAAGTTTGTAGAAAAGGAGCCCTGAAAAAGTAGTTTTGTACATGTCATATTCTAACTAAAGTTTTTTAGACCTTTAGCCAACTCTGAGATGCTTCAAAGTCCTGGTATAATGTTACCAGTCATAATTCTAGTTATTAAAATGTTTTATGTCACAGAAATATGCAAGTTTCTTGTCAATTGCCTTGTAATCAGACCTTTGACCATGTCATTCTAAGAAGAATACTTTTGTAAACAGAAATAAAACATTTATCTTTTTCTCTCTACCTGATCCTTCCATAGTTTGGCTTCTCCAGCTGACTGACTCCAGATGACTTGGCCTATTATGTCAAGATTACAACTAGTTATACTAACCATTGTTTTAATTTGCTCTCTCTCATTTTCAAATTATTTATGCCTGTGTCTCTCTCTGCTACACTATTAATGTTATCAGTTGTATTATATTCTCTTTTACAAGACTGTTGTCTCTTGCATTACACAACATCTTACCAGGCCTCCAACAAAATTAATATCTCAAAACAGTTAATCATATGTATAACTCTATATATAATTAATGTAATAGTACAACTCTAAATACAATTAGAAGCAACAAGCGAAAACATCTACTGGATCATAATAAACTAGTAATACAAGCAATCCAGAGAATTTTAGATGATCAATAGGGTCTAATCCAAAAAAAACATAAAGTGAAAAAGTGAAAGTGTTAGTCGCTCGGTCCTGTCCCACTCTTTGCAACCCCATGCACCGTAGCCTGCCAGGTTCCTCTGTCTATGGAATTCTCCAGGCAAGAATTTTGGAGTGTGTTGCCATTCCCTTCTCCAGGGGTTCTTCCCAACACAGAGATTGAACCTGGGTCTCCTGCACTGCAGGCATTCTTTACCATCTGAGCCACCAAGGACCAAACAAAAAACCTCAGCTCATCAAATGGCCTATCAACAGAATCTTCTCCTGATTTAGGAATGAGAGCCTTCCCAGCACAGTGGACAAAACTGGTCATGCAGACTCCCCCAATGATCCAGTGATTAAGACTCCGCATTTCCACTGCAGGGGTTCTATCTCTGGTGTAAAAACTAAGGTTACACATGCCACAGCATAGTCAAAAAAAATTGGTCATGAAATGTTATGACCAAGAGGAGGCACTGTGTTAAAAGAATGTCATCTGCCATATCAGCAAAGAATGCTGCAGCCTTCAGGTGATCTGCCCACTGCAGATCACCACCCTTGAAGGGATTCAGGATAGAGAAACATAGGATACTGTCCCGGAAGAGTTAAAATCCTTATCAGAGGAATGCTTTCAATAAGCCCAGACTCTTACATCTTCCCATACATAAAAATGTGCTAAGATCATCAACTTGATGTTTGGTTTTCTTTAATTAACGTAATTTCGTTTTATGTTCTCGTTTTATGTATACCCTGGCTTCCCCCTTACCTCTTGGGAAGGTTCCTCAGAGCTGAGAGGCTGCTCCCTGTTGTTAATTTCTCAACAGTATACCCACTAAAAAATATATATAATTCTCAACTTTTAGGTTATGCTTTTCTTTTTTTTCAACTGACAGGTGTTAAGACTGACTGAAAAAAAGCATCAGAATAAAGTAAGAAGTACAAGCTAGACACCCCTGCTCCTCTCGCTCACGGAAGAAAGTCAGACTCTTCCCCAGCGCCTGGTGCTGCTCACCCCCAAACACCGACCCCGAACCTGTGTCTATCCCAGGAAACCCGGGCCGCAAGAACGCTGCCCCCTACCCACGGCCGACGGCCTGGCGAATCCGGCAGCCCCCTGTCCCCTATCCCTAACCTCATCTCCTCCGAGGTCCGTGAACCTACGCGCTCACCTGTCCTCAGGGTTCACGCGTCTCGGGCTGGAACCACCAGGCCGCGGTGGAAAGGGGGCAGCGAGCACGAGGTGCAGGAACCCGGGCCGAGGCTCTCAGCAGGGAGCCGCAGGATACGGGCGCGCGCTCCCCTGGCCGCGGAGCCAGGGCCAGGACTACATTTCCCATGAGCCCCCGCGCCACCCTGCGGAGCGTCCCTGGGTTTTGCGTTTGGATACGCTTCTCGGCTGGTCGTGAGTGGACGTGGAGCGCGTGCGCGAGGGGTTGGGGCACTGCGTGGGCTGCGGGGGCCGGAGCAGGAGGCCGGGCGGGGCCCGCGCTGCAGCCGCCTGCCCTGTGGACCTGCGAGGCGCGGGAGCCCGGCTGTGGGCTAGCTCGCCGAGCCGCTGCCTTTGTGACGGTTCTTTTGCGCCCGCAGGTGCCGATCGTAGGTATGCACGGGAGGGCTGGACGTGGTTTGCTTCCTAGCGGACCGGGCACCGCGGTTTGCTCGCCTCTTCCCTGAGGTGGACGGTCATTTCACCAACAATGCTTCTTCCCTATGGTCTTCCTGGGCTGACCTATCCCCGGAGCCCCTTGGATTCGCGCGGTCACGATGGTAGGATTGGACCCTGATGCCCGCTGCGCCGGACGGTTCTGGGGAGTCCGAGCCACATAGTCTCAGACATGAGAAATAACGATTCTTCTGTTCCTGTTTCCTTTTTCTTCCCAACTGAGGCCAGAGGTTTAAATTTTTGCATCTAGCCTTTCCAGCGTCTGCTAAACGTGATCTGATCATGCTCTTTTTTTGTTACAGCAGGAAATTTCTTAACTGTGAATGTGTTAACGTTCATAAAAGAAATCCAACGTGGTTATATTGGTTTTGAAATATATATATGTATTACTGTATTCTAGTCGTGGATACTGTAAAAGTTATATGCTGCAAGCATTGATAAAATA